TAGTTTGAGGATTAAATTTTTTATGCTTTTTAAGCTCAAAAAATGGGGGGCGTGTTATACATGAGATCATATTATACATGAATAAATACGGTATGCGTCAAACAAGTGAAGAGCATTTCTAAATGGAGAGGAAGTGAATTCAAGAAAGGTTTTCCAATCGTTTTACAAAAATATTTCAAAAAGAGGTCACTTGCGCCACTGACCTGGTTTTCCTCACTCAGTACCTTCCATCACATTAGGACTCCTGACCACAAACGTCATGTCACCTCTGGTTTACAGCTGCCCCTCAGTACCACTCTAAATAGAGGGGGTACAGGAATTCATGTGACAGTGAATGGAAAATTTGAAGAGAGGGCAGTGAAGGTGGAAGTTGACAGTGATGAAACACCAAGCAGAAAAGCAAATTAACAGTGTGTGCGTGTGAGTGTGCATTCAAGCGCATTTGTGTGTGTGTTTTAGTAGTTGGGGGCATGGACAGACAGGTTCAGTCTGGGTAATTGAGTGCCTGATTGTCCATGTAGGATATGTGTCCTCTGGCCCACTTCCCCCCCTCCCTCCCTTTTCACCCTCTTCTTCCTTTGTCACACTTTCTATTGAATCATTTTGTCCCATGCCATGTCACATCAATACAAATAAAAAATAGCTGTGTACACTGGAGCATCAAGCATCTTTGCCTCCATCAAGACGTTCGGCTGTCTCATCTTCAGCAGCCGTGCAGGGAAGCATAGAGCACAAATGTGCTGTGCTTTTCTTTCTTTGTGTGTTGTTTGTCTGTAGCATTTTGTAGAAGTGATTTTTTTTTTGTTTTGTTTTGTTCGGACTATCAAAAGCTGTCAGCCGTTTTTATAAGGGTTGCCTTTTTCAAGTAAAGAAAATGTCATATCGAAAACTTGTTGGCTCACGTCTAGGTGGTGGCATGCTCACGTTACGACTCACCACCTTACCACTTGTCCAACAACTGTCTGTTTAATACATAGCATGTGYCAAGTGACTGAGAAGTAAATAATAATTATAGTCATTACAGAAATGAGCCCACAACAAAGCCTCCTAACTGCTTTCTTTGTTTTCACACTTCAGCTGTTGTGATAGYGCTGCCAGGTTGTTAAAAATATATATACAAGGGAAGAGAGGTGGTGTACCTCTTTGTATATGGGTGGGAGGAGACTGCATAAGAAATTTGATTGTATTTAGTCTACTTTTCTGTAACCTCTGACTGCAAGGTTTCTTCCGGCTTGGAGACAATTTGTTCGGCTACGAGGAATTCAAGGCATGAAATAGAGCTCTCGGATCAAAGGTAGATCGAAAGCCAGGGGATCGTTTGAGATAAAGCGGAGCAGGGTTGCTGTGTGGTGGGCTGTTGGGGGAGAAACTGGTCTCTCAGCAGTCTTTACTAAATGAGGTTAATTGAATCTGGGTAATTGCTGACCTTCCTGTCTCAGTGAAATCACAGCTTTAACTGATCAATGCTTTTCATAAATTTACGCCTCAAGGTCATTCGGTTGATTATACTGCCCTCCCTCTCTAGCTGCATCACTTTGCTCTGGTGGCCCATTGTGTAAAAATGAAGCGTGGAGGCATTTGAACACTAAGAGAATGCAATTAAGTATGTCTCAGATTTGCAAAATTAATTAGCTTGCTAAGTTGTTAAGTAAAAGCAATGTGAACATGGAGAGGCTTCAAAGAGTTTTCCGCTTGCTTTTTTTCTGTGAAAGCGAGTRTATTTTTTGCCTTTCAGGAAATGTCTCACTTACTGCTCGTTAGTTTTTCTGCCTCTGCGGCCCTGCCATCGTGTGGAGATTTATGGGGCAAATAAGTCGTCGTGTACAGGGAAGTTGGGGACTTTTTAAAACAAACAGCAGAGTAATTTGTAATTTGCTCTTCCCTAAAACTGGGAATTATTATTCAGCATGTGGTGCTTTCGAGAGTTAGCGCTGTAATGGTGGGCTTACTGGCCAAGCTCCTTCCCTGGGCTCCTTTTTCTTTCTCCCCCTCGTTCTTTTTACGTCTGCCGAGGAAACAGGAGGATTTCACAGCTGCTGAGATCTGAGCTCCGGCTGGGCCCTGTGACCTCCTTCTTTCTTCTTTATTTCCCTCCCCCTCCCTCAGACTTACTCCCTTTTTTCACCCTCCATCCAGCAGTCTCTTTCCTCAGGGAGCTCTTGTGTGGCTCAGAGGAAGCTGAATCATAAAGCATGGCTAATGAATAGAATAGGGAAGGAAAGCTGAGGCCTGCCGACGGCCCTCAAGAGAGGAGGCCAGGCCCCTGAAGCCCCAGGCTCAAATAGCAGACGGCCCTCACAAAGGTCAGGCTTCCTGCGGCTCGCTCCAAGGGCTTTTGGCTCCTAGGCAATGCAGCTTAAATTTCCCTCATAGTGTTTTGTTTTTTTTAAATGGTTAAATTTCCCTGTTTCCTTTGGAAAACTTGGCCTTTGCTCCTTATTTTCATTGTCTTTCTGTTCCTCTACACAAGTATTTCCCCTCTGTCTCATCTTTCTCTGTCTGTTTTTAATGGCAGCCAGGGTTGCCTCAACAAAGAGAGTGTGAAGAATTTGTTATACATGACCTCTGCACACCACAACCACAAGCAGCTCAGACTGCCAACAGCACAGCCCAGTAAAAAAATGTCAACTTGACCAACGAAGCCCAGAAAGTTCTACAAAAAAAACAGCTAGCCAAATCAAAGCTGTGCTTTGACATGCCTTTTTAAAGAAGTGCTTTTGCAAAGCTGGCCTTGTAATTGTGGATTATACGACTGACTGACTCATACAGACATAGCAGGTGCAAAACACAATGTTGAACCCTAAGTATCAGTTGTTGATGTATACAGTTAAAAATAAAAGGTTGCTTTAACTCGAAGAACAGTCAGACAAGAAGTATCAGGACCTAGGTCATTTTGGCAAAACACAGGTTTTCGGGTCATACAAACATGTTGTGTCTGTCATGCTCTCTGGATCCCCACTCTGGTCATAACAACTGTTTTACTGTTGCAGTGACTTATAGCATTACCAACCCTGTTCTTTTTTTATGGTTTCGTGACCCCGTGCCGCTCTAAGCAAGACCCCGAGCCAACTCCCGTGTCCATTTGACAAGCTTCATTTCATTTTGAGCCCATATTTTTCTTCCCGGGCCTGCCGGGCCGTGATTCAAGGCTGAGGTTGTGTTGTGCAGCGCCGAGGCTTGGTACTGGAGCGTTTAATGTCATCCAAAGCCAACAAAGAGCCTGTGTTGGAGTCTGGCGCCCTGGTTCTGGGAGATTGAAAAAGGGCAATGCATAACACTCTGTCTTTCCCCTGCAGTCTTTCACTTTGCCTACTATAAGAGGAAACGTGAAATATTTTTGTTCAGCTGAGTGTTTGGCTTTCTTTTAATGTTCTACTTTGGGATCAAAGGAATGTTAATAATCTCTCCTCAAAGTACGGCATTCCAATAAATGTTTGTACTCATCTGATGGCAGGTCTTTCAGTTTATATTGCTGCTTAGAATACAATTACAGCTATTCCAAATATAGCTTACTTTAACTGGTCAAACAAACTCAGCTGTGTAGTTTTTTGTATTAAGCATAATGCATCTGATGTTCGAACCTAAAATCTTATATTATTGTTGGCATGTTAACAGAAACCAGTTTTTTTCTATAAATGAACACAATTTACTTTCGCATTTTCTGCAGCTTTAAGTGTTTGCCTCCACTGTGGGTTTCCCGTTGAGGTTTTGTGTTTGTATTTTTTTACAGCCTGTGTGTTGGTAAAGCAAATTAGTGTGAGAATTTATGCTTTACTTGAGCTCTGTTGTGGTTATCGCTGAGACGAGACGTCGAGCTCAGACACACAAACATTGTACAGAAAAGTAACACAGCGGTAGTCAAGTAGAAATCGGGAGGTCTTGGAAAGAAGAGGACGTCCTCAAAACACTTGTGAAGCGCTAACAGGGATGCCAAGGACAGCCATCTGTGTTTACAAAATCATTTGCTTTCTCTTTCTGTCTCTCTTGTCCTCGCTCAGATTCACTGTTCGTTCTTTACATATGCTCCCTTTGTGCAACACGGAATACAAGCGTGGCAGTTAAGGACACTCGGGACCTTTGAGTGGAACATATGTTCAACTCCTGCAGATTTTTACAAGTCTGCAGATCTCAGATGAGAGGAGCTAAAGCAAAGGGAAACCGTGGCTTCAAAAAGCAGCCCTCTAAATTGGCTCGTAAAAACGGGCTGAGAACTATTTTCATTGTTAATATCTTTCAAGCGCACCAGTAACGCCATACAATGGCAGGGTTTGTGTGGATTTACTGGTTTTTAGGCATGGCCATAAAGTTTTCTGCCTGATCAGTGAGGCATTTTTGTAAAAGTATCTGTTTGGGTTTAGGGAGTCCTAAAGCGTGACAGAAAATCCTTGGCAGTATTTGGTCTTGAAGTTTCCTTTTTATCACTTCATAGTCAGATACAGTATGTTCATATGTTAAGACTCAACAACGAGTTTGTTTTATTTCTSAGTGTAACATCAGCTCAGTCATGCAGATTTATCTTCATTTCATCAAAGTAAGAGTAAAGCTGTATTTTGAAAATGAGATAAGCTACGTTGTTTTTATTACATTGCAGTGTATATTGTTATTTCTTAGCAACAATTTGTTTTCTGAAGCCTTTGTGTTTTGGTGTTACATGGTAAAATCACTGGGTTTCTTGTGTTCTTGACAGTGTTTCTTCTGTGGGTTTTCAGGGGGCCCAACAGTGCCATCTAATGTTACCTCATCAGAAGAAAAAAAAACCCAGAGCAGCACAGACGGAGCTCATTTCCCTGGCTGATTAGAGACTGTTGATTGATTGTAGAATGTTATGTGTGAGAGCTTAACTTTACACTTAAGGGCTTTTCTGGTTAGAGAAAATGTTTACATGTGTTTAATCACATACTTTATTAAATTATATAGTATTTGGACCAAAATGATTGTATTTCAGTGATTTTTTAGCAGACAAATCCACCTAAAATCTGTTTTTATGTGTGTGTTTCTAGGTGTCTGATGTAGGATCAGAGAAGCTCTTTTCCCCTACCACACCCAAAGGTAAGAAATCATTTTTTTCCCTTTTAGCTTTAGTCTTTTCCGCTTTATTCATAAACATAACAACAACTGGGTTTTGCAAATGAGTCCAATTCTCTCCTGCTCTAATCCTGCAGCTCCCATTCAGATTTAAATGGCTGCAGACATAAACAAGGTCTGGTGACTACATATGCATGCATTTTAGCCTGGGTGCACAGTGGCGTGTCTTGGACGACCCCACCAAAGGCTTAGTCTTCCTACATATTGGTTCATTAGAGGGGATTTAAAGTCTCCCTGCCACATGCTCCCACAAATGGGAACTTCCCCTCAGGCATTACAAGCTCTCTGACAGCAGGCCTGGATCATAATGGATGCCAAAGGAAAGACGGAAAAAGAGCTTTGTCAGCCTCCAGACAACACAAACTCTGTGTGCATTCAGATATGCACATATATAGATTTGAAGACCTTCCTTTGCTTTTGTTTGGTAAAACTATGATAGTTTCCTCGATGTTTTTGTATCTGTGTGTACACGCAGTGGATATTTTTTGGCATGTCACCACCAGCACCATGCCGGCAGTGACACCATGCAGACTGCTTGCTGCATCTGAATATTTACAACCTGCAATGATGCTTGGCAGGTCAGAGCAGGGGTAAAAGTGTCAAACTGTGGATGCCGGGGAGAAGGGAAGAGGCCCCAATCAGCCTGCTTTTGACAGATAGCAGCATGCAGACCATGTCCCCTCTGGGCAGGACCCAGGAAGGAGGCCCATTAAGACAAGCTGAGGGAAAAGGTGGTGGATCTGCTCCCTGTAAACTACAGCCAAATGAGGAGGGTTCTGGAGACGGATGGGGGGGGGGGGGGGGCATGTCTGCAGTCGTAACAACCAGATCATCCTGCCTCAAACTTGCTGCCATTGTGTTTGTGTGTTCTGGGATGTCTCATAAACATTTGTTGTTTAGCGCACCTGTTTTGTTGTTATTGTACAAGTAAAAAAGGATAATAATAATAATGTTGAATATGTGTGCATGTGTTTGTGTGTCTTCATGTTTGAAAAATCACATTAACCACTGCACAGATTTTAAATGAACTCTCAGAAGGTCTTATTGGGTGTACCTTTACATCTGTTTAACTTTTTGAGTCTCCTCTTAGGTTGTCCACCACAGCTAAGCAACTTTAACAAACATTGCTGTAGTCAGTTTTGAGGATATCAAAATACAAATGAGTGTGTTAGTTGCTGAGATTCTTCCAGTACATAATCTGAGTGTTGTACATTTCTTGAAATGTGGCCATCATTAAACTAGATATCTCATCAACCACTGGATGGGTTTTAATAAAAGTTTCAGAAGGTAATTTGTCAACAACCCTTTGACATTATAATCAATCTAGATCAAGATGGCCACCACAGCTAACTGACCTTAGCCAACTCAAAAAAAAAGCTGTCACCTAGTCTTATTTACAGATACTGAGCTAAAGTTTGATGTGGTTGTAGCCGAGTGTCATTAACAACACATACTCCAAGTATAAATAAATCTGCCAAGATCTCTCAATATGATGTTGAAAGAAAATAWTGTTAAGTGTGTTTGTTACCAGGATGTGTGCTTAACCATATGGAGAATATGTAAATTCATGAAAAGGATTTTTATAGAGGAATCATACAAACCCAAAGAGCGCTCCTTGCCGAAGTCTGGTTTAATCAAGTGACCAAGAGTTCAGACCGAAAATGAGTAAGTACCATTGGTTTTAACAAAAGCTCCGAGGCATGGCTCCGCCTATTTGATTACATCATCAAGGGGAGTCCCTAAACCTCTCGAAGCCATGCCTCCAGACAATACAATCTATTCTAATGAAGATTTAAAAGTTCAGTTATGTGTTGAATTTGTTTCAGGCATGTAGCTATTAATATAAAAATCATCAAGTTAAGCAAAACAGTCACATTTACCAATCATTACAGTTCTATCATAAAATTATACCATGTGTATGTAATTTAAATCAGTTATCTCTAAACCCCAATAATTTCTTCAATGTGCTATTTTACACAACGATCTTTTCAAAGTTTCACCAAAACAGCTACAACTGCATCATAAAATGATTTTGGTTTAAAACTCAGGCATGAAATTCAGTGGTTTGGATTTTTTGCAGTTTTGTTTGTTTTTTGAATTTATTGAAATTGTTGCACTAGTCTTGAAAATGTTTGCCATTATCATTTCTTACAGGGGTGGGATTAAATAAGTCTATAAGTCTTTCTACTCCTTTTTGAACTGATAAAACACTGAATGTACTTTATTTACTCAGTTAATGATCTGTTGATACTTATTTTGCCATATTATATTGTTATTATTATCATCTTTAGTTTCTACTTTTGAGCCTGTCTGTGTGTATTGTGTTAAAAAATTAATTAATAAATAAATCATAGTCTTTTTATTTCAGTTGCGGCCTTTTACCATAACAAACTTGCAGATTTGATGTTCCCTCTTACAAACACATCGCTGTTCATTCTTGACTTCATAGCTAAAGCTAGTGTCTTGGTTGTGTACAGTAGCTGTGACTGTTGAGTAGGAATACTTAGCTGACATGGCATATGAGATTTTAGCTGACCTGTGACCACCATCAGCCTCATGAAACCAGCGCTCGCAATGACAATGGCTTCCAGACTTTTATGGTGAAAGACACAGCTGGACTGCATTCGAGGCCATATGTTCTCTGCCAAGCTGCTGAACTGCTTCTGTTATCAGCTTGCAGGGTGTTCACTCGTTTTCCCCACATGCTTGTTAAAATGACGTGTCCACCTAAGCGGACACAAACACTGTGACAACATCACTGCGCAATCGCACGCTCAGTGTTGCACACACATTGTGAATCCAGTGCGGTTATTGTAGCAGGTGAAGGAATGCTTCTGCAGACCGTGCTAATGCTCAGGGCAGAGGATTAAGTCCCTGGAATTACAACCAGACAATCCAATCAAAGTCTCCCCTGATTATCACACAAATCAACCAGATCCTGTTTAGGCGATCTAGACAAAGGGCACCAGATAGGAAATAGAGGTTAGAAGAGGGGAAGGCAGCCAAGAAATCTGCAGTTTGATGTCATTTGGTTGGTGATAAGGAGARAAAAAAAGTTTTCACAATAAAATTACAGTCTACCAGCAAGCTATCATTTTGCATTCCACTGTTGTTGTTTCGAGTAATAACGGGTGCGAGGACAGTGTTTGTTTTTGGCCCAGACTGAGTTTTCTGTGAATGGATAATATGTGTGCGATAGAGTAGCCCACAGGCTGTTTTCCTCTGGTTTGGTATGCAGCAACACAACGTATGTGCCCCATTACCAGGCTCACTCATGGTCCTGTGGGACTGATGAAAAGTCTTCAGTTTTCTGGTCACCAGGTCTGTTTAGCTGTTAGCTGGTTGACTTTTAAACAGACGCAAAAAAAAAACCTCAAACATTAAGTTATACATGAATATACCACACTGTTGTATATGTATAATTCACTAAGTGTTTCTTTTACTCACCTCTTTTGTTTTTCTTTTAAATAAGCTGCTTCTTCTGCAACTTTATGTTGGCAAGTATTTAGACGTACAAACAGTTGAGGTTACATCCAAATTGTACACAGGCCCACAAACTGTCATGGTAATGAAACGGTTCAGGGTTCACAGAGAAGAGGAAAGACCAACATTGTAATCAGCGATGGCARAGCACTGCAATTATGCACACAGAACAGGGTTTTGGGTAAAACCTAGACATCATTGCCTTTTTTTCCTCTCATATTTAGTTTTCATCATCTCTACATTGCTGGTCTAATGACAGCATGTTATTCATTCAAGCTGCTGCTCATAATAGCACAAGGTAATAGTGTCTGCAATACTGTACATAGTGTGTAATTCTGTCAGGGTGTTTTTACCCAACAGCTAGTACAGGTCTGTTTGTGTTGGTGGTTATGATGTAGGAAGGTACAGCAGAGGGCATGCATTATCTAACAGTTATTGGTTTTTGGTTATTTCCTGTTTTAAACCTCCTGCAAATTATTGATTTCCTGAAGGATGGCATGTTTAAGTACAAATGCTGCAGACTTGTTCTGCTCTCAGGGCTGCCATTATTGGATTGAAGGTTAGAGTTCGCTGTCGTCACTTGCTTTAAGGGAAATATGAAGCTAAATGTAGCTGCTGAGCATGTACAGGGCACCTCCACAGTGCACAGATAAACACTTTCCTTCTATGACATTTCCAAACGCTAGGCCTATGGAAGCAGTGTGGAGTTATCACCCAGCTGTCAGCAGCTAGAAATATCTGAGAACACTTAGGAATCTGCGCTGACTGTGTTGAATGTTGCATCTTTGGGTTCTAGAGCAATTCGTATAATCCTGGCACAGTCTCTTATTTGTCCTCGTGTACTCTCTGAGGCCCGGTTGTTTTAGCGAGGTACAACCTGCCACACTGTGGTGGTAAACCTTTGCAGTATGCCTTCCCCTAAAAAAAACTGAGGCATCTTGGGATAGCAGGGGAAAGATTGGTAGAAAACCTATTTCTGAAGTGGATTTGTGCCCTTGTAATCCTGATTAATTTTGACCCGTTGTGCTCATTTTAAACAGAGCATTACAGTAAGCGTGAACACAGCAAGCTCTGGGGCGAAACTAGGAGCTTAGCGGCTTTGGGAGGCTTAGCTGCAGATGGCATTTTAAGCCGAACTTAATAAATTGTTTCCATTAAACTTACCGGCCCACACATACTGGATTAGACCGGTGGAACAAAGGAAGAGGAGAGCGTGCAGAAGCAGAGGAGGAAAGAAAACACACACATCTGCCATCGTGCACATCTGACACAGTTAATGTTTCTCAGAGGCCAAATAAAAGGTGAAGATCGGGTGACTGGGGTCTTAAAGGAGATTGAAGCTTTTGGACGATGAATTTGTAGTTCCCTCGCTCTGCATCTCTTCATCGTTGGACATATCAAACAAATTTGCCTAATTGACATCAAAGTAAACAAACAAAAATGCATAAACCATTTCACTTGGCAGTGGATTTAGGGCTTAT